GGGCCTATGCCAATGGCAAGAAAGATAAATACCCACTTCATATCGACCCAGAAACAAAGATTTTCTATGCAATTTCCACAAGAAATAACAATGAAGAGCATGCATTTCCGAGCAAATCTAATTAGTATTAAACCACCCAAGAATATGCGTCCCATACTTACTTAAGAGGATCAAGGGTGCTTTCCCCAACATATGCAACAGCTGCAAAATGCATCACGGCATCAAATGCATTTTCCGAAAATATTTTATTAACCTGAAGTATCAGTTAAGAAACCAGTTGCGAGATCCATGTTAATTGTTCATGCTATAATGATTCTAAATCCAAAAGGAATCTGCATATTATTAAACTCATGAAAAGGATACAGCTTTGGGGTCACCCAAGTCAGCATAAATAAATTGAAGCCTTCCAGGTTCTGGGAACAATTCTTGTAGAACCTTGACAGCACCTATATTTCCCCGTGATAGGTTGTCCTGTCAAATTCAAAGAACAGACATATCTATATACATATTTGTAGTACTCAGCATAAATTAGCTGTGCATATGATAAAAGAAGATTCTTAATCTGAGATAAGAATTTACCACTATGGTCACACGGTATGAATCCTTTAGAAGGCGCAAAGCAGCATGAGAACCAATATAACCAGCACCACCAGTAACTAGAACATGGGTTACTCCTAGTTCCCGCCGAGAAAACTAGAAGGGCATAAATAAAAAGATGAAATATGTTAAAAAGTATGTACTATCAAGCAGTGCACGGAAACAGAACTTTAACAGCATCAACTGATTAGATCCATGTGTTCTTTTTCAATTGCCTTGTCAACTATCAAACAATTTAAATCAAGCATCACTGTTCATACGCAAAAGAAGCCATTATCATGCAGGAAAAGTAATTCAAATGCCAGCATTTACGATGTCGTTAAAACCTGATATTCTGTGAGTCAAGTGATATGTACTCTGTTCGACTTAAAAATGCAGATCAAATGCAAGACTATTTTAAAAATTTGAAGTGATCCAGGATTTACAGTATGCCAACACAAGGAGAAATCCACTAAACCAATCATATCCTCTTCCCGATACCCGTTAAACATGGAAATTACTAAGCAATAGAAACTGTACATGCTTCTGGATTCCAAATACCACGATGGATTACGAGATCTAAATACAATATCATAAGATAAAATTGACCTTGGCACGGGATTTTGTTTGTTAGTCTGTCCATATAGGACCACGATTTGATTAAGCTAAAAATCACTCTAACCATCAGTTGTTTATCAGGAATTTGGAATTCAATACAAAGTCGAGGAATTACCGGGCTTGGGGTATTGAATGTTGGTGATTGCTTAAGCATAATAATGCATAATGCTGTAAGAGCAGCTGCCAAAAGAATCTTTCCTACAAAATTGCTCTTCCTTTTGGGATCAGCGTAATCCATACCTAAACAATCAAAATAACAGGAAACAAATTACTTTTAAATGATTAAAACAGAATACTTATACTCTTCGTAAAAAAAAACTACTTTGATGTAATTCAACTAAAGGTTGGTAATCTCGGCAAATTCCCTGTCAGCCAGAAGAAATTACAGCAGCACACAACAGAATTTAGCTGTTGTTAGACTTGAAGCTCATATAGTTTCAGATGTCATATATTAAACAAAGGATATAAACAGTATAAAACTCAAAAATGGCTTCTCAAATGTAGAGAAAAGACAACCTCCTAAAGGCATGGTTCTAGAAGACCTTGATTGAGCTCTTGCCCTACCCAAATTTAGCATTGGAAATTGGTTCAACCCTAATGCAGTATGTTCAGCAGAAAATCAAATCCTCTGCATCAAGATATACAGGTCGTCTCCTTGAATACCCTTTTACTGCAAAATGAAAACGAAACAGTTACAAGTCAATTTTGAAATAGGAGGAGCAACACATACTTTTCAGAATCCAAAAAATACAAGAGCATAATCAATTCAACTGGTCCCCTTAAAATTTTGAAAAGGAGAGGGAGAGAGAAGAGAAATTAAATTCTAAAAGGACCAAGAATTTTAGAACTACACTTGCCAGAGACAAATAAAAACGAAAACTTCAGAAGCAAGAACTCAATTTTTCTTAGGAAGAAGATGAAAGAGACAGAGAGAAAGCAAGTAACTTTCTAAGATCCAGGAAAACCAAAGGACCCCAAAAAATATATTTTGAAAAAAAAAAATCTGCAAAATTCCCATCAGGGGAAAAAAGGGAGAAAAAAGAACACCCACATCGTAATTCTGTCAGATCATGTCTGCAGACTGCCCCAAAAATATTCAAAACCAAAATGATTAAAAAAGAAAAAAAAATTCCAAACCGTCATTCTTCAAACGCCAATTCCAATTCTTCAATAAACAAACTCGATTAAACCCATAATAAATATCCAATTTTTTAAAAAAAATAATAAATAAACAGACCCAGAAGCAAGAAGATTCAGAAAACAAAAAAACTGAAGTACCCATGATCCAATTATGGCCACTAACAAAAACTCATCTCACATTAACTCAACCCTAAGAGAAAAAAACGGCAAAAGCAACAAAGAGAAGAATTAAAGGCAACAACTTTACTGAGCAAAAAGAGCTCAAAATATTAATTACCTCAAAAAGTAGCTGAAAAGGAGGAAATTAAAACAAAAAAAAAAACCAGAGAACATTAATAGGTCGAGATGCTCAATAACCAGAATTCTAAATCAAAAACAGAGAGCTCTGTTTTTGCCCCTCCCGAGTAAGATCTCTAAACATGGATAACAAAACAAACCAAACAACACCGAATATAAATGCAATTCCAAACGAGAATAACAAGAAGAAGAAAAAAATAATAAAGAATTGATACCGCAAAATTAGAGTAGAACCCACGATCACCGAAAACGTCAGAAGGAGAAAGAACAAATTTTTTAAAGAAAAATTTTGATTTTTGCTTGCGGAGAGAGAAAATAAACAAGAACAAGAGAGAGAGAGAGAGAGAGAGAGAGAGATAGAAAAAGAGAAGAAACCTCTCTACAATACAATGCAAAAAGGAGAAGACCAAGTCCCGGTAATGTTGGTACGTTTGAATACGAAGCGAGAGAGAGAGAGAGAGAGAGAGAGAAGCTCCAGCCTCTGTTTGCATGTTGTGAAACGAAAGAGCCAAAAAAGAGAGAAATTATATAACTTGGCTTCTCTTTTTCTTTTCCTTTTTTTTCTTTTCTCCAAAATAATATTTTTTTATTCTTGAAAAGCAATATTAAATTTAATGTTTTCATCATAAGGTGAAAATATATATATATGTATATATGTATATGTATATAGTTTGAAATGGGTAATATATTAAAAGACAAAAAAAATTATATAATGGGTCAAAAATGTATAGAAAATTGATCAAGTTCAATGCAGCCTGCAAAATTATTACTAGCATCCTATTTGGTCAAAATATGCACTACTTGGTGTAACTTTTTTAGAACTCGTATTCGCGATAATTTTAACCATTCAATTGTTTTGGTAAGTTTCTTAGAACTCGTATTTGCGATATTTCTAATCCTTTAATTTTTATTCTAAATTTTTTTACTATTATCTTAATGCATTAAACAAACGTATAACAATCATCAATAAAAGTAGAGATGGTCGCAGTCGTATAACAATCATCAATAAGAACAGAGATGGCCGCAGTCGTATAACTATCATTAATAAGATCAAAGATGGCCGAGAGAGAGCCACTATAGATTTACATAATCTTTTTAATATATATTTTACATAAACTCTTTACGTATGTCTTTAATCTCTTATTATCTTAACAGTAAAACGAAATACTTTTATTTTTTACTATCAAAGAATTAAATTCTTAAACAAAATCAATATGTACTCGTCTTAGACACCATTCAATATTTATTAATACAATTATGATAGAGGAGTTGGATTCATAAACTACGATTTCACAAATAAATATGATCATATTATCTTACTTTAAAAATAATATTATAGTTCACTGTTATTTTAAAAAAAAAATTTTTTAATTTTTTCGTAACTACAAAATTATGAGTTTTAACTATAAGATAATATATTTTATTTATTATTAATTTAAATAAATTAAAATTTACCCTAATAAATAAATATAATTTTAATTTTTAAAAATTGGTAAGTACCGATATGCAATATATTTATATTATTTTATTATGTATCGATTCTGTAACGACCCCGAAAATATTAAAATGAAATGAGTATTTAAATATATCAAATGCGGAAGCGAGATCAAAATTTCATTTAACATCCCTTACACGAAAAACCAAACAAACGTACTTAAAATATAAAAGGTTAAACTAACTAAGAAAGAAAACTCGAAAATAAACTATGCGTATGACTACAGAGTCTCTAGGCATCCCCTTCGTCGTCCTCCTGCGGAACGGGCTCGGGAACCATGTCTTCCTGATCTGAAATGGTTAATTTAAGGAGTGAGCTACACTAGCCCAGTAAGAACATCACGATATCTCACCGTCACGGAGATAAAGGTGGGTAGAAAACCACAAAAAGACCAATGGAGCATAATTTACAATAAACTCGTTTATTAACAACAAAACCTTTTATCAATAATAAAACTTTTACCATCCACTTACCTTGGTGGAATTTATGAAAAACAATATGAGAAAAACAATAACATTATCATAATCATTGAATAATCTAAGCTGTAAAACATAACACTTATCACGCCTCTTGTAATTCAATCATTGTACAACATATCTTTTTTTCTCATTTACCAGCCTACTAGTATCCGTGGGGGTCCATAGGGGTTCCGCTACCCGTTAACCTTTAACATTCATAATCAGTTTCCAGGGCCGTCCCCATACCCCGTCCGGTATGGGCGCCAAAACCATGAACCTCAATACCCCGTCCGGTATGAGGGTGAAACGGGCCGTCCCCATACCCCGTCCGGTATGGGCGCCAAAACCATAAGATCTCCATACCCCGTCCGGCATGTGAGACCACAATCCCGGTAGGGTTCCCTACGGACCCGGTCCGTCCACCATCTCTCATGATATCTAGTCAGGCTGACCCCATAATACAATTATCAGTTTACACAATCTTTCATTTTCCTTTCCTCAGTCAGCATCATCAATTCACATTTAAACAAGCAAATCATAATTCATGCCAAACAGACAACATACAGTATCAGTTTTTTTTTCAGTCATTCAACCCATAATTAATAAAAACGTAGTATATGCACACAAATCTATAAAATGAACACATCAAACCTCATTTTGCATTTAAAGCTGTAAACAGGCCAAATAACAGTAAATCACCAATCACACTAGACTCGGGCTCCATTAGCCACCTTAAGCAATTTCACACATTCGTTAATTCAAAAAATACCGTTTTATCATTTTGAACTTTAATACCGTGATAGGAAATAGGGTGAGGGGTCCTTACTTGTTTTCGGGATTCGAATACGATTCACAGTGCACCTACAGGCTGTTCCTAATTTTCTCTGAATTTTTTCGGGGAACTGAAACGCACTAACGGTACCTGTACGTGTTCCAAAAAATCTCAAATTAGGCTCAGGGCCCCTTTTTGGCCAATATCGCAACTCCGGCACGGCGGCTCCGCCGTGTTCCGGCGGCGATTCGCCTCGGGTTAGCTGTTTTCGGCCGAATTCGGCCACACTTGCATCGGTCCCTGCGAGAAAACAACCCTAGGGCCCTCGGGGGGCCAAAAAATCACGGAAAAACGGAGCTTACCGGCGGCGGCGCTCTCGGGTGCGGCAGCTCTCTGGCGAGGTTCGTATTTTGGTGATTCGGCTCCGGTCAACCTGTAGAGAAAAGAATGGTGATCACGGTGATATAAAAATTGCATCAAACGGAGGCCGGAAGGGCCTCGTCGGAGGCAAAAATCGAGAAGGGGCGCGGCGGCGCCGCTGGTCTTCGGCCGCGTATTCTGGCCGTTTGGCCAGGATTTTGGCTCCGATTTAGCCACAGGAGGAATCAGCGTGGAAAAACGAGTTGGGGGTATGAAATTTCCCCGGCGCGGCGGTCGGAAATTTCCCCGGCGCGGCGACGGGTGGCGGCGGCCGGCTTCTGGTTTGTCTTCTCCGGCGAGCGGCAGGCGGCTAGGGTTTGTGGTCTGGTGTGGGGGTTATATTTATAACCCCTTGCCTTTTGATCTCAGCCGTCCATTTTGTTTTAATCTGAGCCGTTCGTTTTTGATTGAATCTGGGCCGTCCGTGCGATTGCATCTGGGTCGTCCGATCGCGCGATTGATCTGGGCTGTCCGATCGCGCTCACGCGGATCGCCAACGTGGCCCGTTCTGGAGTGACGTGGTCTTGCCACGTGGCAGGCCCCGGTTGGCCGGGATTGCTGACCGGGCCCGCTGACGTGGCTGCCGACGTAACTTTTTTTTTTTTTTTTTCGGCTCCTTTTCTCCGGGCGCTACAGATTCTTTTAGTACGAGAATTATTATTTTTTTATAATTTTATATTATTATATATATATATTTTTTATACTATTTATTTAATTCTTTTTAATCTAAAAAAAATTAAGTAACGTATTTAATTAAGTAGTAGAGATGGGTCCAAAATAAAACTCTCTCACATTTATAATAAAAATAAAGTAACAAATAATTTAATATATTATAAATAAATAAAAATTTAATATAGCAAAAAATATTTAAAAAATCATTTTAATTTTTTAATATATTGAGTATGTAATTATAATAAAAGAAATTCGAAATTTATTTATAATATGAACCATATATATATATATATATATAACACTAAAATGTAAAATTAACATTTTTATTTATTAATTTATTTTAAATTCTTTCTCTTTTTTTTTTTATGAGAAACAATGAATTGAAATTTGGACGAACCGATTGCAAGTTAGCTACAATAGAATCGACCTCACCGAATCATAATCCCACATTCCATATAAAATATATATATATATTTAAAATTATAATCAAAGGGGAATATAGAATATGAGTTTTGGTGGTGATTCACAAGTGGGATGCTACTCCTAGTATGTGTATATACCGTGTATGTCTCTATATATATGTATATATGTGTGTGTATGTATATGTTATATATATATATATATATATATATATATATATATGCATTGCAGATTTCTGGGACCAATCATGTGTTAGCCTTTGTAAAGTCAAAAGCAAAAAA